GTAACATCACCACTTGAAAAATGCTGATTTCCTAATTAAGAGATTTATTCAAAACGTCGAAAAAAAAGAAAGTGTGGAATATTCTAAGTATATATAGTATATATTCTAAGTATAGTGCATTCCAAAAAATTCTCCCAGCGTGAAAAATATCGCGCGCTTATTTTTTTTAATATTGCAAACTTCTTCATTCAAACCAACATTAATGCACGAATCTAATCGGCAAAACATTTTTTGTTACAGAAACGAAAACAGAACGTGGCTGCCCTGATCGGCGGATCGGTGAGTCAAACAAGAAAAATATTGGTAATAGAAAGACAAAAAGTCTTTTCATATAATGCATGTTTATAAATCAATGCGATTTATTTTGTTATGGTGTAGTGTGTGTATGTGCCGTGCAATAAAGCACATTGTTCGAAACATTTGAAAGATCGCTTTTACAAATAATAATATTAGTAATAATGCATTTTTATATAAATTTGGCAAATTTTCAAGTATTTTTCTTCAAATGCATATATATTTATTAATTGTATGATTAACTTAGATTATTGATTGGTCAATGATTTTTGTTGAAGAAAATTTTGATTAATTAAACACTAACTGGCAAGTGCCATTTAAGTATGGAGTACGCTCTGATTTCAAAATTTTTTAAAATTATTCAGTTTTATTGATGCGATCTTCCAGGTGTCTCGATTAGTACGCCAACGCGCAGAAATTGCGCCACAGAGATTGCGCTACAGAAAATGCGCAATCACATCACCCGCCTCGATAGATCTTCCGCCGGTCGTTAATTTTCTCAATTTTCTCTTTCGCGTGAGCTCGCGATTGCATTTCGTAAAGTACAGAAATCGTTATTAAATAAAATTCGATATCGTGCGGCATCTGCGCGAAGCGATCTAACGTGATTACTTAAACTGCTCGCGAAATTAATTTCACGATCGTCGAAAAATTTTCAAGTTCCAATTTTTCACTTAGAGTTTCCTAACGCGGGACACAATAGAGACAATGCTAACAAGCGTTGATCCCTCGCGAAAAACACGATGTACACAAGTTAGATGTGCGAGCAGTTGTTTACTTACGTGGCACGCGACAAGTTCCTCCGAACGAAGATAGACGTCTCACGCGATAACATTTTTTTCGCGTGAATTTTGAATAGAATATTTATCTCTATCGTCACAATTTTCATAGTTTTTTATTTTTCATTCACGTTCGCGTTCGCGATTATTAATTTGATAGGTTTGCGAATTTCACCGGATCGTATTTGCGGAAGAATCGCGAGCGAACTT